CCGTCTTCCCGCCGGTGGGGCTGTGGGCGGCCCCGGGATGCTGAGGGGGAGCGAGACTCTGCCCTGGGCCCGGGCACTTGCGTCAGAAGCGTCACCCGCAAGCTCAAGGTGCCAGGCAGCCCCGCGCCCCTCTGCCTTCCGCATCTCTTCCAGCCCTGCCTCACCGCCGCCCTGGACAGCAGGTGCTAGGCAGGACCCTCACGGAGCCCCTACTCCCTCCACTCCTCGGCGCCCCCTCGCGCGCTGCAAATCTGTGGAACGAACGTAGCAAACACACGCCTCCCAGCAAAGCAATTTCCCTAGAGGTTTAAACACTGATTATGAGCTTAGCGTCCCTTAAACGATTCCAGCCATAATTACGTGTGTAATGTGACCGCCTCTTTTGAAGGCTTGGCGAGCGCGAGCAGGCCTTATCGGTAGGAGCCGGCTGTGTCCTCCCCGCCACAACGGCCCCACCTCTCGCGGCCACACGTGCTCGTGATCGGGCTTGTCCTCGCTGGGCCCATCGGTGGCTATCCTAGTGCCCATTCTGTGCCTAAGGGAGCAGTTTCTGGGCCCAGCAAGTGAGTGATGGAGGTGGGATCGCGTTTCCGGCTGTGTCCGGACCGGCTTCCCGGGGCAGCAGGGGCGTACTGCCACACGTCGGGGGCTTCGGACGACAGAGACCTCCCTTGTCACAGTCCTGGAGGCCAGAGTCCAAAATCCAGGGCCACCCTCCCTGGGGAGGCCCCCCTCCCCCCAGGGAGGGTCCTTCGCCTGGAGCCCTGGCTCCCGGGGCTCCAGCTGCTCCTGGGCTTATGGCCATGTCCTCTGTCCCCCTCTGTCCACACTCAGCCTCCTGTCTGGGTGTCTCCCCCCCTCCTCTTAGAAAGACCCTTGTCATCAGATTCAGAGCCTGCCCGGACAGTCCAGGATGAGCTCCTCTCGAGATCCTATGCTTACTTACATCCCCAAAGATCCTTTTTCCAAATAAGGCCCCAGTCACAGGTTCTGGAGGTTTGACGTGAACACATCTTTGGGGGGGCTCCCCCATTCTTCCCAGAGGAGTTGTGACACCAGAAGGGTGAGGAGGCCCATGTGGCATTACAACTGTGGAGAAAGCGTTTATTCCCAGGGAACCCACTTCCGGCTCTCCTCCATATCTAATGGATTCATATTCTTTGTTCAGCAGATACAGAGTGGGAGGCTAGTGTGGGGTGGGGGGCTGTCTTTGATGCTGGGGTACAGCAGTGAACGGAAGTTGCTGCCGAGCCAACCTGGCCTTCTCCCAGAGTAAGACACACAGTCGGCACACACATGCTATGTCAGGATGCGGAGTGTCCCCGTGAGCAGAATGCAGGGTGGGGTCAGGAAGAGAGCTGGGGTGGGGGTGGGGGTGGGGGGGTCCTGTTTGTGGTCAAGGAAGGCCCTTGCAATAGAGCGTACCAAATAGAGGCGTCTGGGGGTATCCAGAAAAGGAGCATTCTGGGCCCACTGATATCTGTGCAAAGGCCCTGTGGCCATGGCATGTTTGGCTTGTCTGTGACAACAAGGACCAAGTCTGAGAAGCTTGAGTGAGTGGAGGGCGCGGGAGGGGAGGGTGACAGAGAGGGCTCCAGACTAGGCCAGGCACCGTAAGCCTCGCCCGGTAAGGCTCTTTGCTTTTACTTGGACTAATTGAGAGGCAGGGGTAGAAGGTTTCAGCAGAGGAAAGACATGTTCTGACTTGTTTGAAAAGATTCATTGTCCTGGGCCTTCTGTAATCTTGGTAGGAGCTGCAGCTCCTTGGGGTGGCCCCTGGCATGGTCAGGGGAGTTCCTGCCTGGCAAGTCCTGGCAGGTGCTGGGCTCCTCTGAGGCCTAAGGTGATTCCCCTCAGTGAGTCTGCCGGGGGCGGCCCTGTGGTCATGCCGAGCGAGGCAGGGCTCTGCAGGAGCCCTGGGTCCAGGCCTCTGAACACAGTCCCCAGGCCGACCAGGGCCCCACCAGCCCTTGTCAGCCTCCTGCCTGGGCAGTGAAGCAGAAGGGGCAGACCCTGGCAGACGGGGTGTGTGCGGAGACGGGGTGTGTCCTATAGATGCGAGTGGCCCTCTGCTTCCAGCCTGTGTGGTGTCCACCAAGGGTCCAGTGCCTGCCACTGGCCAGCAGTCTAGCAACTGCCCTTGCAGGATCAGCATCCACAGGCCCTGGGCAGTGCCCAGACAGTGGCCATCCCTGTGGCCCCTGGGGACCAGGCAGACCGACTAGACCCAGGCTCAGGTCCCAGGTCAAATTCTTCCTGCAGCAGTCTGGTCTTTTGTTCCCCGAGCCCCTAGAAGCCGATTTTCTGCCTAGGATCAGTGTCTTTGTGGAGTCCTTGTCCCTCTGCCTCTCTCTCCACGGGCCCCCCCTACCCTGCTCAACCAGAGCCTCAGGGAGCCTTCACGGCCTCAACTCTCTGTGGGGCCAGGGCCCTTCCCCTGGTTTCTGTGTGCTGGCCGCCCCACATCGTCCAGGGCCTCTGGAGCATGGATCTGCGGGGCTGGGGCTGCAGGGCTGACCCCCAGGGGGCGCCCCGAGCCGCTTCTGTCCCGGCTTGGGACGAGCTCCCGCCACAGGCAGGGCTGTGGTGCCACCTGCTGCCGACGGGCGCTTCCTCTCTCCTGGAAATCACGTTCATTCTGATCACAAAGGTAATACTTGCTCCTAGAAGACACTTTGGAAAAGCATAGTTTATCCATGGTCCCACCACTCAAATATACGTGATATTAATGCTTTGCTTTTATTGCGTTTCCCTGTCTCTCCTTATGTACATATGATCTCCCTAATTTTTAAAATGCTGCCTTTTCATTTAATAGTTTAACATTTCTAGCATCTGTCCCTTCTACAAAATGGAAATTGTATGGATGTGACCTGATGATCTGTTGAGCCAGCCCACTGATGACAGACATTTAACTTACGAACCATTTCCCGAATGTGAGTTCACTAGATGATTGCAAGAAAACGTTCCTTTATTTTATATTCACAGTTTGGCAAACATTTTCACCAGCCCATAAAGAAACCCTGTACCTGTTATTAATCGGTCATTCCCCATCTCTCGCCCCTGGCCCCACAGCCCTCCTCTGCCTTCTGCGTCTGTAGGCTTGCCTCTTCTAGATGGTTCGCATAAATGGAATCACACCCTATGGGGCCTTCTGTGACCGGCTTGTCTCAGTCAGCCCGGTGTCTTCCAGGTTTGTCCTTGTAGTGTGTGCAGAACTTCCTTTTACGGTCGAATAACGTCCCACCGTGGGGACCACACTGTTTATCCACTATCTGTTGGTGGGGTTGGAGAGCAAGCTTCTGTGAACACGGGTGTGTGGTATTTATTTGAGCCCCTGCTCCCAAATCTTTTGGGCAAAGCTGTCACCTGACACTGGGGACGCTGAGTGGTAGCTGACGTTGTGAACAGTGAAGTCCCCTCCCCCTTTCCTCACTCAGCTCCCAGGGCGGGGACAGCAGGTGGAGGGCAGCCAGGCCCCCCACGCTCAGGCTGAAAGTCCGGGGCCTGCCTGGGAAACTCCGCGGCTCAGGAGGAGAGGGTGTAGACCTGCCCGAGGGTGCCAGCTTGGTACCCAGCCTCACACTGCCAGCCTGCCCTCACCTCTCCGTGGCCCAGGGAAGCATTAAATACTCATAGTGGATATTCATTATTGTAGAGTGTGCCAATAACGTGTGCACTCTCACACCGCCCTTGGGAGCCCGTGCAGCCCAGCCTCCCTCTGTACCGGACAGGGGCTGGGGGGGGGGGGGGCGGACAATGGCCCCAAACCTCAGGCGTGTCACATCTTTGTGCTTCTTAATGGTCTTTCCTCCCTGGACGTACCCCCACATAAGACCTAGGGCGGTCCTGCGTGTTTCTGCGCCGTGTGAGGGACCCACACAGTGTGTGAGGGTCTGTGACCCGCCCCCCTCTGCCTCTGTCGACTCTGCCCCTGCAAGACTAGATCGCCCCATCGCTGAGCAACCAGTGCCACAGTGAGGATCCTGCCACGCCTGCGGCCACAAGGGCAGAGTTCCACGTGCGTGCCAGTGGCAGCCCCCGGGGTGGGAGCTTGGGCAGCTGGTGCCAAGTTCTCTCTCTGAAGCTGTGGCCCCAGCAGTGCGAGGCTGCCTTTGTTCCACCTACACCACGTGGCCTTCAGTGCCTCCCTCTGAAACGGGACGGACAACCAAGGACCAGGCCTCTGGCACGGAAAGCAGATCCACTACCTCCCGGAAAGGAGAAGGAGGTAGTGCAGGCAGCCGTTGGCCACGTTTAAAAGTCTTGCATCTGTGGAGCCGCAGGGAGAGCATCAATTAAAACGTCGTGTAAGAATTGGAGGCACCTGAAGGGGGGCAGACGGCCCTCCCCCCCCCCCACCGTGGGGAGGAGCAGGGACGTGCATGGTGGGAGCGGAACCCTGTGTTCGTAACAAAGCCCCACACGCAGGGAGTTAAAACAGCGGAAATTCATCCTTCACAGCTGGGAGGCCCTGTCTGTCTGCGTCTCCTCTCATAAGGACACTTGTCACGGGGTTAGGGCCACCCGATAATCCAAGATGATTTTCTCCTCTCCGGGTCTGTACCTTGATCTCAGCTGCAAAGACCCTTTATCCAAATTAGTCCCGTTTGCGCTCAGGGTGTAGGTGGCCGAGTTCTAGGAGGAAGTCAGTAGATGATGTCAGTCGGAGGGAGAAGGGGGGGGGGGGGCCTGAGCATGTGAGTCCACACCAGGTGGTCTACACCAGCAGAGAGGAAGGAGTTGAGAGTGGCTACAGCAAAGTGAGGGCAGCAGACAGGGCAGGGCCAGGCCAGGAGCCCTGCTGTGCCAGCTGGCTTGTTAGGTGGTGCCTGTGACCTTGATGACACTCTGAAGCTACCAGTACCTCCCGGCAGCTCGGCTGTGGTGCAGTGGGAGCCTCCAGGGCAAAAAGAGTTTGGTTCTCGCTCCTGGCTTTCAGGCTCCAGGAGCCCCTGGCGGTGCCCGTGCCCCCCACACCCTGTATCTCCTTCTCTGTGCAGTGGCCCCACGGCCGGTTCAGGTTCCTCAGACAAGGCCGGGCTGGAGACGGTCCCCTTGGCCACAAGAGAGAAGATCCGGTCCAGGTTCCACGGCAGCCACGACCTGATCCACCGCCTGTTTGTCTGCATTTCAGGTGCTGGCTGGGCCCGCGTGGAGCGGGGGCCTCAGGGGGTGGGCGGGGCCTAGCTGACGGCGGGCTGCAGGGTGGGGGCCTTGTTGGGAGTGGGTGGGGCCTCAGGGTGGGGAGGGCCTGGCAGAGGGAGGGCTGCAGGTTGGGCGGGACCTCGAGTGTGGGCGGGGCCTGTCTGAGGGTGGGCTGCAAGGTGGGG